TACATAATCAACCCATATATTTAATTAGTTCTCTTTTGACCACTTAATTAATTCTAAATTAATTATTGATCAAACTAATCAAATAAAATTATTAATATATTAGAACTTATAATATATTAATAATCTCCAAGTGTTATTTCTCTCATTTGGTCTATCCAATTGCATGGTGCCATGCAACCCAAATAGACCATGCCGGGTCGGGTCAAGTACATACCAGAAATAGTTATGGACTTAGACACCTTATCCAACAGTAAGTTGGTGTATGCGGGGCGTACTAAGAAACTCATCGTGATCAAGCCTTCGAATCCAAGCAAAGTACGTTGGGCGTATGTGACAACCATCATAATTCGAGTCGGTTCAAGATTTGATAAACTTAGTTATACATGTGGGCATGACACATACTAGATTTAGTAACTAGAACTAAGTTATAACCTACTAGAAACTTACAAACAATTAGAATCAATGGATAGTATACGTAGATTTCACATTGATATGTGAATTCTATAACTACTTAACTGTAGTGATTATCCATATTCGGGTCACTCTTTGACTCGAACACCTTTTTATGAACCATATACACACAACATGCACTTGACCTAGTGGTATAAATTAGGTCCAAGTCTCGTAGGAACATAAGTTAAAGCTGAAAACTAAGACTAGTATACTTGATTCCTCAATTTCGCTTGAATCTCGAAATCGCTACATAGAATGCCAATAAACTGGTAAAAATAAATTACAAATATTATTTCTAACTTCAATAAGAGTTATGAAACTCTAAAATAGTTTGATGTCTCAAATTTTAATTAATTTTGATATCCAAAGACTAACAAACTCCTTAAAACCCTAAAAAGCCCTAAAAACCTAAATTTATGAAATTTAACCTTAAAAATTCTAAAAATATAGTTATGAATCTTATATTATGATCTTATAATAATTAAAATTTTGAAAATGCATTCAAGGAAAATAAAATGTAAGTCATTAACAATTACCCTTAATTTATAGGTCAAAAATCAAGGTTTCATGAGCAAAAACATGGTTAGGGTGTATATTTTATAAAAATTTTGATATAGTTATTAAAGAATTGATTTTTTTCTAAAAATAAAAAGAGAAGGAGGGCATAATACCCTCAAAACCGTTCACCCTCTTCCCAATATACTTCCCTTCTTCTGAAAACATTTACACAAAACTTACACTCCATCTCCCTCATTCTCTCTCATTTTTCCAACACCTCCACTTCATTTGGTCTCTACTCTCTCTTCCTCTCTCTTCTTCTCTACTTCATTATTCCTTTAAAATCTCAAGTTTTCTTACATATCTTCTTCTTCTACACCATTCTATGGATGGTTTATGAATCACATGTTCATAACCATGATTTTTATGATGTTGGAGGTAGTATTTCACCCAAAAACCAACATGCATGTGATTATCTTCATGCTTAGAGGCTTGATCATCATGGTTTGTTGTTAAAAAACATTCAAATAGGTTCATAAAGGATTTATTCCCAAATAAATATCAAAAACTTCTTTTCTGACCAAATCCGATTTTTCCCAGAATTCCATCAAGAAAATGAGGTTTTCTACAAATTTTCAGAAAATAATTCATTTTTCTCGAATTATTGTAATTATTGCAAGAAAATAGGGCAATAATTAATATAAAATACAATCTGAGGTCTATAAATCTTAGGTAAATTCGTGGACGGTCCCTAAAGTGAATGATGACATCTCACTGAGTTTCCTTGATTTTTGTTACTGTTTGCTATGGTTTTGAGTTTTCTATTTGTTTAATTCAAATAATTCATAAAACCACTTTAAGGAATTTTAAAATTCTATATAATAATTTTCACAACTCCTACCTAATGTGTAGTAATCAGAAAAGTATTTTAAGAATTTTTCATAATGCATTCTTATTTTTCTCCGATTTTTGTATTTATAATGGACTAATAATGTCAAAAATATTTGTACTCATCCAAAATTCATGACAATTTAGCAAAAGACCTTAAATTATATTAGAACACTAAGTAAAAATTGTGATGTTTTGCTATTCGGTATACTATTTTTCTCCTATTTTCAAAGATTAAATACACTTAAATCCACAAAATCAGATTACAGTATATAAAAATCACCATTGGTATTTTTCCCAGATTATGTACACTGTAAACGAAGTTTAATTTTTTTTTTTTGTAATTTCTTTAACTGTTTGATAATTATTCACCAATTAATGATTATTAAAGTGAATAAAACAATGAAAAATAGCCAAACTAATTGACAAATACCATTTATATTTTTCAGAGATTCTATATGTTTAATAACCGTGTTACAAAAAGCTTTGGCAATTTTGGAAACTTTATTCTAATTATTTTCATTTTTGCTAAAATAAAAGCACAAAAATCATAAAATCAGGTTAAACTATTTATAAATCCATTTTTTATCTTTTTCTTAGCTTAATTATGTGTAATGGAAGTATTATAAAAAGTTTGGAGAATTTTCTTAACTGATTGCTATTTTTCATGAATTTCTATTTATTTAGAGAATTAAACATAAGAAAAATGGTTATACATATCTATAATCCATGGAAATTTATCTGGAAGTCCTCAAATGAAGTTAGAACCAAAATCTAATTTTTGGTCATTTTCATTTATTGTTTAGTATTTTTCATGATTTTATGGTTATTCAAGAAACTAAAACGGTGAAAAATAGTAGACAAATCAAAAATTCAACAAAATATATCTTAAGGTCTTTGATTTCAATTAAAACTAAAATGCAAAGTTTGGAAAATTTTAGAACTAAATTGATTTAGTTTTTAATATTTAATCATTGGAACACCCCTTAAAACGTTAAGTATTAACATCTCAATAATGAGAATTTTCCACTTAAATGGTTTTATAACAATTGATTCTTTGAAATTTAATTTCCATAGAAAAATGTTTGTAACTTAAAAATATTAAATTTTGACACAATATTGGCATAATTCTATTGTGGTAGCAAGTATACTAGTATTAGATTTCTACTAGAGACTCATTAGTGTGTAACATCGTGTAGGAATCGATAGTGGTACGAGTGGAGCATAGTTCAACGAACCATTTGCATCATCTCAATACATATTGTGAGTATTCACGACTCCCCTATTTTCGGGTTTTTGAATATTTTGGGGTGGAAAAGCATGTCCTAAAGTATTTATGTTCGTTGTATTTATTTTGACATGTATCAAAATTGGTTGCTACATTTTTCATGTATGTGTATGTTACTTTTATTCATGAGGAATGTATCGCGGTTAAGTCCCTGGAATCATTAGACACAACTCATTAACTCATTTGAGCCCATGGTCATTATGGATAACGCTATCAGGAGGTAGACAAGTCCTTATTCGCACGATTCGCTTGAGTGCATTTTACAATTTTATACACTATGTTTGGGATACATATAGTAGTCAATATGGAACCCTCGGTCATTAGGCTTGAGTTGTGATCTCATGAATGGAATCTTTATTCACAAACGAAACTTGTTTTCTCAGGTTAGCCACGACACTTGTATACTTACTTTAGCAACAATATTTATTTATTCATTTTAACAATATATTTTTATTTATGAAAACTTTTATCAAAACTTTGATTTCGATTCATGGAACCAATATTTTTTTTTTTATTTGTGAGTACTCACCAACTATTTTTATAGTTAACGCTTCTTTTACATGCTTTTTCAGGAATCATCAAGTAAGTGACACTTAGGGACACATCACTTTTAGGAGCATTCACATTCGTTGTATTTCAGTTAACATTGTAATTTCTTTTAAAAGTTGCTCAAACTCATTGTAAATTTATAATGATTTTTAATACTATGGTTGGTGTTATCTTTAAACTTTTGCTATGAGACCCTTTATATTGTCACGCCTCGTGTTTCCGCTTTAGCGGGGTGTGACAACGTACTTGTATCTACGTTAGGCATAGTATTCACCTCGCCATTACGCTGGGCATAATGGGCTGCCTTCAGCCATCTTCTTTCTTTTTGCTTCTAATCCCGAATTCCATTGCAATCCTTTCTTTTCCGTTCTATCAGCAACTAATAGTTGTAAATTATAATTTGAAGTATTATAAGTACCTTTTAGTTCTAAATAAGAATAATAAAGGATAAAATATTAAGATATGATATACAAAAATATGTATAAAATACACATATCAATTTTGTTATTTATTGCCTTCTCCCTATGTTATTTAACATTATTAGTGCCATGCTAGTTGGGTGAAGTCAACACAAGTACCATCTGATTGACAACTTTAGTCCACAACATCCTCTTTCTTCTCACCATGGTTTCTATCCATATTTCCAACTTAATAAATTCATACTAAGCTTCTAATTATTACTTCATCAAATTTTAACTCTTTATATTTGGTTCACTTATTTATAATTTTTTTAATTTGCCAACAATCTATAGCCCCTAAATTAGATATTAGACCCATTCAAGCTTTTCATTAAAGGAATACTTTACAAAATCAGGTGCAATCGTTCGATGATTACGGTCTTTCAAATTTGAGATTTTCGGGAAATCATCGATGGGATTAAACGCCGGTGACATCACTAGATTTTCTTTTTCAAGTCAGATATCAAGATGGGTGATATTGTTCGGAAGAAAGTTAATCATAGGAATGTGAATGGAAACAGTAGGGTTCATCATGTGAGCAAAGATTCAAGAAGTAATCACGTAAGTTCAGATATAACTTATTTCTTTATTACCAATTTTCCTGAATCGGTTCAAGTTCTTGATTTATGGCGAGTCTATGGTCGAGTCTTTGGTTGTCTAGGAAATATAATGGGTGTGTTTATTGCAAAAAAATATCACGATTTGGGAAATGGTATAGTTTTATTAGGTTTTCAGGTGTTTGCAATTGTGATCATCTGATTAAACAAGTGTGTGATGTTTGGTTTGGCTCCTATAAACTGTTTGCTTAATTTCCCCATTCCTTGAAAGACAATATCTATAAACCTCCTATTATTGTCAACTCCAAAATGGTACATCAGGATGCGAGTGTTAAATCTTATGCAAATGTGATTAGAGGCTTGGTTAATGATATTAGCAGCATCAAAAAGGTGGAGGCGATTATTGAATTAACTTCTTGGGATTTTAAAGTGGAAAAAAGACAATGGGCATTTCTCGTTAAGGCTAGAGATTTCTCTACACTTCCCAATCTTCGGGTGCTTTGTTTGGGCAAAGGTATTGAAAAAATTGAACTGAGATACGCGGGGGGTTTATGGTTTTTGATCGAATTTACTTCCACTAATGCATGTAAAAACTTTATGGTTAGTGCCACAATGGATCATTGGATATTCGAAAAACATGTATGGGATTGAGATTTTATCCCTTTGGAACATATAATGTGGGTTGATGTTAAAGGATTACCACTTAGTGCTTGGAGTAAAGAATCCTTCAGAAAAATAATCTCTAAATGAGGCTCGATTGTTCAACTAGATGATGACCTTAGTGATAAGTTTAAAAACAAACTTGAAGATCGATTAGATCTATGAAACAGGTACAGAGACAACCAGATAAGCAATAAGAATAAGAAAATGGATCAAAAAGTGTCGAATGATTAATAAACAATCCTCAGAAGAGCTAGATAAAGAACATCAACTGTAGAGGATTTTAGGGTTTACAATAATCAATGAGAATGACGACAAATTCTCTACATACGCATACATGCATGCATATATTTATAATAAAACCCTAACCGTTTATCAAAGAAAAAGGGCTAATCTAGATAAACATGGATTGACAAGCCCAATCCGGTTGTAAAACAAAAGGGCCCAAGATGCAACACATTAATCTTCAACAATCTCCTCCTTTGCGTCTTTGGCACAGAAGCTTCATTCCCTTTTAACAGCAGATGGTTTCTTCACCGTTTCAAATATCCTCGGTATAATGGCCAGAATGTGATGCCTGAAAGTGATATACCACCGAAGCATATCTGTAAAATTCTTCTTGTCTGCTGTAGAGTTCTGCTTGCATCGGTGAATGATGTTTTTGATATGCTCTAGGCAATCTATTGAAAACATATGCTTGTCTACCAAAGCAAACAAAAACTTGTGCTTATCGCCCCTTGTGAACATGACTGTCAGATTTGAAGAGTCAATTTGCCCTAACTTCATTTTGTGAACATCTCCTGTCTTGGAAGTAGGCTTGACGGTCGGTTTCTTGTTCATTATTTTTTCTATTTACTGATCCATAGTGGTAAGCTCATGGATATAGGAAGCCAACATTCTTTTGAGATGTTTTAGAATCGGTTCATACTCTCTTTGATTTGAGAGAAGAATGTTGTATAGCAGAATCCAATCATGAGGATTCAGACTGGGAAGATCTGCCAGAGAAATAAAATGTTCTGTGTTGGCCGTTCCTCTGTTGACTTTGAAGTTAACGTTCACAAATTTCCCAGCCTGTGTTGGTTTAAGTACCTTGACCTTTACAATCTTCTGTGCACTCCATGTCAAGTACTGTGGTTGACCATACTTCAAATAAAAATCTATCAATTCTTTGTCAAACTTCAGGTTTGGATGAGGGACATCAGCAGTGACATCGAAGCAATGAAATGTAAAAGCCTTTCGTGTGATCGGCATGTCAAACTGTGAGTCTTTGGTATTCTCACACTCAAAAGATGCAATCGGTTCCAAGCAATACATGGAGGGAAACACAATCGCTTGATTAATGAGTGTGTCTCTGTCCCATTCTGGGAACAGAGTCTTCTTAGCTTTTAAGGCATCCTCATCCTCCTTGATTCTTCTTTCTTTGGCCTCTGCCTCTCGAGCGATTTTCAGAGTCTCATCCAACTCTTTATCTCTTTTCTTTCATTGAAGAGCTTCAGCAATAGTTTCATCAGTATCTGACTCGCTCTCAACAAGTAATTGCTTTCCAGAACCCGAAGCTAAATTAACCTTCGGGTCTGTCTTTGGTATACTCTCCTCTCCCCCTTGTCTCGGAAGAACAAGCTTCTCCGAGACACCCTTCATCTCGCTCAGAATAGTAATCGCAGGAAGGAGTTTGTCCTGGAGATGCTGTCGGATGGTAAGGGTAAGAAAGGGATCATGAGTTTCGAGGACATTAGTCAACATGTTCTTGACATCACCAGTAGAACCTTGAAGAACAGCCAGCTGAGTTTTCAGTAAAGAGATTTCTTGTTGTGCCTGGGCCAGTTGTATCTTCTGAAGTTCAATAGTTGCCTGATGCTTGACAAGATCCTCTTTTAAAGTACTCTCTGCTGCTAGAGAAGCAGAACGTGAATCCAAAGATTGAAGAAAAGAGGTGGATTCAGTTTTGAGGTCAGCACGCAGAGCCTCGAACTTGGAATTTTCACCCTGAAGTGTAGCCGAAAAGGAGTCCACAGACGTTTGATACTTGGCCGCATTAGCATCAGTATGTGCTTTGAGAGAATCGAGAATAATCTGAGTTGTGTGGACAACCTTAGAGACTTCCTTTGTGGCTTTGGAGCACGAAGTGGCTGATTTGTCAATAGCATCAGTGCAGCGATCCAGGGCATTAGTATACGTCTTGATTGCAAACTCGATAAAGGCTTTTAGCACCACACCCCCATAGGCTTTATTATCAGCCAACAAACTATTGAGTTTTTCATGAATTTCTTGAAGCTGCTGACTGGTAATGGGGGTATCTGCATCAGTATCAGTGGGAATCCGGTATGGGCTATAATAAAGAGAATCATACTCTTCATCATCACCACCCAAAGTATCACCAGAGGTTGAGGATGGAGAAGGTGATGGTGGGATGTGAATGATAGGTATTTCAACCACAGTAGTAGCCCCTGTATCAGATACATTGACTGTTACTGGTGGTTGGGAAGAGGTGGTAGTAACGGATTCGGTGATGATTGGAGTGGGGATCAAAGATGTAGGGATAGTGACAGAGGAAGGAATAGTTGAGGTGGGTAAAGAGGTTGGTTCTGTTGTAGTGGGAGTGATGATGATAGGAACAGAAAGTGAGACCTTCTGTTTCGGTGATGGGGGTGGGGTAGGAAGTTTTTGGAGAAGGTGGAGGAGTGGGTAGTTTTGTGACATTTGGAGATACTGGTGGAGAGGGTATATGAGTATCGGTAGGAGAGGATGGTTTTTGAGGAGACAGAGCAGGAGATGGCTCTTTTGGTGAAGCATGAGGAGCGGCGGTCTCTGCTTCTGGTGTGTCATTTTGAGCAGATCCAGGAGAAGAGGATCCTTTGGCCCTTTTGGCCATCTTCTTAATCTTCTTTGATTTTGATTGAGAGGGTTCTTCTGCATCATGTTTGCGCTTTGAGGATCTTTGGCTTCCTCTCCTTTTTCGGTGTGGTTTCCTTCTTCTCCTCTTTTTCCTTTTTGCCAGCCCTCTTGCCACGGTTTGCAGGTTGATCTAGGGCTTCCAAGGCAGCCTTCTGTTCATCAATCAGAACCCTTGGAGGCAAAGGAGTTCTGGTGCTGTAATCGGCCATGATCTTGCTATGAGGCGTGACACACCTGTACATGGATTCAGGAATTAATCCATAATGTAGAAACTTACTTGGGTCAGAAACAACAATCTTCTTAGTATGGAAAGAAGGTATTGAAGCCAGAAGAGCATCCTTCATCACGGGGATTTCCAGAGAATCCATGGCTTTCTTCATGATGAGCGTCCAGAAACGTCCGCACGAGATCTCAGAGTACCGGGTTGTGGTGTTAAGACTCTGAACGACTTGAGACCAGATTATGGAGCCATAATCTAAGTTGATGCCATTGTAAAGACCATAAAGAATGGTGAGAAATCCTTTGCTCGTGGTATCAGAACCGCCACAGCGTTCCGCTAAACCCTTGATTAACAGGGTAAGCAAGCCATTCCACTGCGAAGGAAGACAAGACTTCTTGACCTTTGCGATCATCGTAAGTACATCAGTATAACCCATCTCGTACACATCGAGAAAAGCTGGGCAGTTGAGACAAAATCTAGTGAGATGACGGATGAATCGACAGCAAGCCCTAAAAGAGAACAAAACTTGGTTTTGGAGACGGAGGTTTTCTTGTCATGGATGGTGAAGTAGATACGATCTTTCTGTTTATCATAACTTGCTGATGTGTAAACTTGAGAAAGCTGGGACATCGGAACTGCTGCCACCTGCGTGAGAGCCAACAACAATGGGGGAATATTTCAGACATTCCACCACATGGAGCATGTACGCATCATACAAAAAAAGGAGTCATCTCGATAATCATATTCTGATTAGGCTTGATGGAAAGCAAAGATGAAGATGCAGTTTGATCGTGCGCAGAAGAAGAAGTTGCCATTGTTGAATCGAAGAAGACGATGAACAGTGGAAACTTTTTCAGAGAGAGAAGATATGTGTGTGGTAAATGACAAAGAACACGATCACCCCTATTTATACCGTTCACTGGAGAGAGAAAATCGTGATGATTATGGAACCAAAACGTCGCCTGAAAAAGCACGATTGGATGTTATGGTGTATCCCAGGAAAACGTCAGCACGCGTGGGTGTGAAACGAATCAACTGCACGCGCCCAAATAATATTTTTGTACCGTTTGAAATTCCTTGTGCCCTTGTTTGGTTACAACTGAAACTTAAAACCACATACCAAACAGCAATAAGAATGTTGGAAAAATTAATTTCCATGCATAAGAGTGTGAAAGATAAAGAAATAAATCAAAGGTGTTTGAGATGTGAGTGATGTCTATGAAGAAGACATAAGGCGGAGGATTCCGGGCAAGAATCACTTCCTTTAAAGCCAAGAGAGACTTGAAGTGCTTGTGTGGTTTCCTGAGAAATACGATCAATTGTCTGTCAATAAACACTGAAAGGCATCTTTTGATCATAGGTTGTGGGGTGGCTGTCCTCTAACCGAACATCAAGTCTCAACATAAAACTAAGTATTGGCAGAGGTACCTGTGAGACCGATGTGATCTGTTGAACAGGTAGGTGGGAATTATCTTGTGACAAGCATGGGATAAACAGAAATCTAAAAAAAAAATAAACTGGACCTTTTTGGGAAGAAATGTCTGGGGTAAAGACGATTTCATAAAAGATCACGCAAAAACAAAATGAGATTTCCAAGATATAACTTGAGTATATCACTCACCGTCAATTCATTTTAGGTATTTGATTTTTGGTTTCACTTAGAACGTGGTAATCGAATCCAAGATCATAAACACAGATGTGGTGTAACCATAAGCTTCAGTGGTAAAGACCGAAAGCATCAAGGGTTACTTTAGTGAATCGAAGGCAAATGGAGAATTCTAGGAGGTGGTTAAGAAACCGAATGTACCTTCTGCTATAGAAGTGTGACAAAGCAGAGCAACTCATGTCTCAAATGAGAAGAGTAAGGTAGCTCTAG